TTTTCACCGATGCCTCACTGAAGCGATCTGCTGCCCAGACGGCTTCTAAGGAGTGACTTGGAATCGGCTAAAATTTCAAATCATCAGACAAACAACATGTTCCCCGCCCAAGCGGCTATTAGTGGGCTCAAACCCAGACCCCGGGTAAGCATGGTACCCACGTACGAGCCCGCCAAAACTTTTTCGGGTAAGTTCATAACTCGGGGATCTGAAAAGCTAAAAGGCCGAAAACTTGGACCGAACCACGGAAGAGGACCACCGCAACGCACACACCCGAAAACGCAACGCAACAAGCATATCAGGTAAACAACATCAACAGGTGGTGACCAGCGCGCGCAAATTCGTATTCTTCGGCCGACCTTACGACGGCCGAACCTTCCTGCTTCTGGAAACTTCGGGTCTTCGAACAGTACAGCGGCCGGGCCACGCCCTTGCAAAATTCGGCGCGTGCGGTGGCCGAACCGGCTCGACACGCCGGTGACACTGTGGCAGTGGGCACATCAGGTAAACAACATCATCAGGTGGCGACCTGCGCGCGCCAATTCGTATTCTTCGGCCAACCGTACGACGGCCGAACCGCACCCTTCGAAAATCCGGCCCATACGAACACACGCATCGCATAGGATCCAGCTGAACTGAATAATTGGCCCAAATCGACCCGAAACCCAGCGGGCCACACCCAACCACGAAGGTGGACCACCGCAACGCACACGCAACGCAACAAGTACGCCAGGTAAACAACATCATCAGGTGGTGACCAGCGCGCGCAAATTCGTATTCTTCGGCCAACCGTACGACGACCGAACCGTGCCGCTTCTGGAAACTCCGGGTCTTCAATCAGTTCGACGGCCGAACCGCGCCCGCGGAAAATTCGGCCCATACGGTGGCCGAACCGGCTCGGCTTATGGCCGTCTCACAAACACATTACCATATCCGGGACCAACTGGTGATACCGCGGTGGGAGGCACATCGGGACAACAATTCAAGTGGGGCTTTGCGCGCCAGCTCGTATTCTTCGGCCGACCATACGGTGGCCGAACCGCGCTACTTCTGGAAACTTCGGGTCTTCGACCAGTACGGCGGCCGAACCCCGCCCTCTGAAAACTCGGCCCATACGGTGGTCGAACCGGGTTCGGTTCATGGCTTATTTCACAAACATACTACCATATCCCGGATGTACCGATAATGCCGCAGTGGCGAGCGCACCAAGACAATAATTCAAATGAAGTTTTGCGCGCCAGCTCGTATTCTTCGGCCGACCGTACGACGACCGAACCGTACCTCTAGAAACTTCGGGTCTTCGACCAATACGGCGGCCGAACCCCGCCCTCTGAAAATTTGGCCAGTAAGCCCACTTCGCAAACACGCCACCGTATCCAAGATTTACCGGTGGCACCGCGGTGGTGAGCATATCAGGTAAACAACTCACCAGGTGGAGGTTTGCGCGCCAATTCATATTCTTCAGCTGCCCGTACGACAGACGAACCGTGCTCCTGAAAACTTCGGCCCGTACGGTGGTCGAACCGGTTCGGCTTTTGGTCCGCTTCGCACAGGCACAACCACATCCGGGGCCTACTGATGGAGCCGAGGTGCGTCGGGGTCCAATCAAATTTCGAGCAGAACTTGTTTCGCTATGTATACGGTATACCGTAATATACAGAGTCTTAATCCACAAAATTGCATAATTCGAAATTCACCGGTGATCGGCACTCATATCGATTAAACCGCATAAAAATTTTGCACCAAACGGACTTATCACGGCAACTGCTATAAAAAGCCGGCTTGGCTGAGACTGGTTGCGCAAAATGCACTCGCTTTTCATCCTGCGAAAATGGCGATACCGGCGGGGTTTTTTGGCCAAGATACGGTTCCTGGTGTCGCTTTTCCAGATATCCCGGGTGAAACTTTACAGAGAACCAGCTACTGCTAAGATATTTCGATAAGCAGCTTTTTCGTCCCCTATACCCAACTGGGACGATCGATTTGCACATCGGAATCGCTTCGGACCTCCACCAGAATTTCCTGTGGCTTCGTCCTGCTCAGGCATAGTTCATCACCTCCTGGTGTTAGCGCGAAATACACCGGTATGGGCCACGCGCAGGGGTGGGGGGGGGGCGTCCGCAGCAGCTTATCGCTAAAACGGCAGTGGTACTGGTGTTGCACCGGAAAGCCACTATTTGTAAATCTTTGCAGGAAAACAGAAAAAACATCCAAAACGCCGCTCTGGCTGCAGCTACTTTTAGTGCGATTATCCGTAATAAGCAGGAAGAAGCTGTACAAAGTAACACAGTTTTTTATTGCACGCAGATACCTGAATACATCTAATACATTTAATTCAGGAAACTCAGAATAACTGAATTTAATATATTTAATTGCGGAAAAAACTACCTAAATACATTTAATTCCGGAAATTCATAAGCTAAATCTAGCATGAATCGGACAAAATTGCTGCGCTCTTGGAGTTCATCCAAAGTAGCAGCGCTCGATTCTCGCAGATCCGGCTTGAAGACTTGACTACGTGGTTTACGTTTTATGAGTAATTTCGGCAATCGACCAAGAAACGTTGGGCGCGAGTGATTCTTTCGGGTCTGGTTCAAAATTATTGGCACCAGTGGACTAAGCATTTCCCGATTTATCGGCTCCTGGAATTCGTGAGATTCAGCTGCAAGCAGGATCGGAAATCCGGTGTACCATCCAGTTTGTGGATTAAGTGGTCCTGAAAGCAAACTTCATAAGGAATTCCAGCATATTAGCTAACACCTTTCTGGAAATCAATACTCTTCTCGCATTGCCTTTTTCACAACTTCTCGTCGTCTTTCAATAAAGACATTTAGAGAAGAAATGTTTTGTAAATGTCATAACTGATATTTACATGTGTTTCTCAAAAATATATCCCAAAGCATGATATTTACCAAAAAAACATAGTAATAATATTTATGCATGTATTCCCCAAAAAGACACTAGAAAATATTTTACAAAAAGTGAAAGACAACGTGATGTATACACTTTTATACATCTCGTCGTCCTTCACTTTTTTTATACTTTCATTGTTTCTTATGTGTAGAATATTTCTCCTAATGTCTTTTTACTGTAGCTCCGAAATGCCAGAAACATGCTCATCATATATTTGGCGAGTGGGAGGCTGTGCTGATGATTCCCACTTTTACCTGCATTCTGCGTTACCCTATGTTTACAGCTAAAGGATGAAATGCAGTTTGCTTTCGCATATGTCCATTGTCGCACATGATATTTTGATCGATCCCTTATCTTCGATCCTCATATCTCACTTTGTGTTAAGGTTATAAATTACTACTGTTTCCGGCTGAAATAACGTTTTCTTGTTCTCCGTATTGTAGGACCCAGAATGGATCAAAAATTTTCACCCAATAATTTGTCCCTCCCGTAACTTAACAAACTGATCCTTCTTGTGTTTTAAAGCTATCAAACTATATTATTTTAAGCCTTGGACTTCAAAAATTTTGGGCTTTTATTCCAGCACACAGCACAGATCAATGCTTCCGAATCGCCATCATTCTGACTCCTGTAACTAAATTTTTCGAAAACACGATGCCCCACAGAGAAGCCTACCATCTTCTAGCAAGGCTTTTTCTGTAGATTTGAAGCCAAGTACCATTTTCATTTGTGGTACTTGATCTCAACACAGTTCGAGAGGAACTCTTCTGATTACAGCGCATTCTCAGCGGAATATGATACCATGAACGCAACTGAGACGCCGATGAGGAAGAAGATATTAGTTGTGATATGTATAAAATATTAAAAAATGCAGATATTTTAAAAAAATATACATCAAATAAACAGGATTGTTTCGGCCCATCAAGTCCTATCCATTCCTGCTCAGCACCGCAACTGGACCTCGTCATTATAACGGTTCTAGTGTTGATAAATTAAGAGAATTAGCTGAAAGACAAATCGCCAGAAAACTTTCTATTACAAAGAAAATAGTCCTTACCGAAACGTCTGTACTGCTGTGCACTGGCGGATAAAATAAGCAAAGCGGCGGCTAGCAGCCGCACTGCTCCTGTAACCATTTTCTAAAATATTCACTTTCTTAGCTTGTAAACCTGGAGTATTATAATAAATAGCAACGTGCACCAGAGACCTGGAGCCTTGTGTTTTTGCTGTAAACCATTACCAGTGTTGGAAGTTGCAAATTTCAGGAGTAAGAATTCCTGTCAGCTTGAAATTGGATTTGCGGTAAAAGGTCAAATTATAATTGGGCTGAGACTGATCTCATCTTTACTGCCCTGAAAGATCTGAGGGCTTAATCTGAAATTCCCAGTTCGTAGTTTTCCTAGCACTTAGAGGGTCAAAAGTCAACCCCAACTACGAGGCATATTAGCTCTCTATGAGAAACGGAGGCAATCGGTGTCGCGCGCGGGGTCCGTTGTCTAAAATTGTTTTGGACTGGGAGGGATGCCAGCGTTCCTCTTCATGTGTGGAAGTAACGTGTTACCACTATACCACCGATCGCTGCAATTCAAATTCAGCCTAGCAGCACATCTACTGTGTATCTGCCTTTCAAGACAAGGCACATCGTTCTTTTCTTCTCTTTCTCTCTGCGGCGGCTTCTTGGCAGGCTTTTCGCGGGTTTTCCGCGACACTTAGAGAATAGCCCAAGCGGAAGCAAATGCCGCCAGTAACCACTCGCTGACAACGACCTCAAAATTCTAACCCTCAAAATAGCTTTATGTTGACTCAGAATTGAAGTCACACGTCAGGATGCAGCAAAAATTAGAAGTTGATTTGAAAGTATTTACTCTAAAGTACAAACTTCGACTTTGACTGTGTGGCTTGGGAACTTAAACGTGATGGTTTCCGAAACTGTGCTGAAAATGTGGGTACAAACGCTTTGCATTTTTGCATGTGTAAGCGTAACTGTGAACCACTCCCGTGGGCGAGTCATAAAAGCACTTGATTTCCTGTAAGTAGATTTAAGAAATTCATATATGAGTATAAAAGGAAGCAGTGGAAGAACATGCAAATGCAATTTTGGCTCAATACAATTCTGTATTTGCAAAGCAACCTGATTAGAAAGACATTTGCGTGAATACTTTGTGTGGGAATGAAACATTCAAAAGTTATGAGAAGCTTCTGACAAATAAACATCCCAGTCCAGAAACATTCTTGAAAAATACCGCCACATCTGTATAATTTGAAACTTTTAAAAAACTTCTAAAAAGGTGAAAATTTTTTCTTTTTCCTCAGTTTGTTCAGTGAAAGAGTTTAGTCGGGCACGAGGTAAATGCGCTTGCTCAGGAAAATAAATTTCCTACTGGTACAGTTAAGATTTTTTCGAACTTAAGCATCTTTTGAGTCTGTGCTGGAAAAGCGCTTTAAAAAAAAGGTTTTGTCTGTAGGAGCGAGCTCCTGGTCGACAAGGTACTTCCCGATATGGTTTTGGATTGTCGTCGTTCAACTCGGGGAGGTAATATTCATCATAAAAACACAGAATCTCTCGAAATGACTAGAACCTTTCCAAGTGTTTCTTTCTGAAGGACCGCTGAGTGATCCCATCAGACGACGAAATAAATACCAGGATCCTCATTTAGCTGGCCCTTAGGTGATGGACTATTGCTCAAAGCTACTGGAAAAGTTGTTAGCATAATATTCACGCTGTGAATGGAAGCTTAAACGAAATATGAAATAATGAGAATTTTATGCACCCATAGGGTGTTTCGTATTTAGCTGGCAGTTTTCATTTATGGGCGAAATTGCTGATCTCTCACTCTTCTGCGAGATGGTTAAGAATCAAAATGGTGATTTTGCCTTCACCAATTTGCCATCGAAATGAATCAGCTGATTGTAAAAACGCTTCGTTTTCCCATTTATAAATCTGAACGATAGTCTCAAGCTTCAAATTAGGCTATGAACGGCAAAACACTAAAAAAGCACTTTCATTTTTTCAACAAAAAAAAAATCGAAGATTTCGTAAAGAGATCCTAGCTTAGTGCCATATTTTGGTGGGATCCAATGTGTCGCAGCAACAATCGTCCGGATGAAATTGCTAATATAAAGTTCATTGAAGTGTGATACATTGTAGGATTATTCCAGGATTGAGTTGAAAGCAAAAGGTGACGGAGTTCTTTATGCATTTATGCAATAAAAAAAATCAATACGCACCACTTCACTAGCAGCAAAAAATAAGCTTTGCAATAATTTTTTTGCAAAAAAGTGCACCGAAAATTTATTCTGAATTTCGCATATACCAAAGAATACCAGAACCGACTGAACAGTTGTGTGGAAATCTCGTTCTGGTGACGCTACGAGGATACTCTTAAACATAGCTATGCCAGGTCGTTTGATCCCTAACTGCGTACCTCCAATTAACATTTTCCGGCTATTCAGTGAAATTTGATATTACCTCCTCAAAAGCCATTTGAGCGGTTATTTAGTTCTCATGAATTTGTAGCAGAATTAGCTCGCGCTCATACTTGGTCTATGAGAAACACAACTAGCTCGCATTTTCCGGCAATTAGAACCGGCTATAAATAATCTAAGACGAAATATCCTGGCATAGCAATGCTTAATGGATGAGCAATTTTCCTCAGTTATTGTACTATTAGCCCAGAAAATCTCGGAATTAGTTAAAAAGGAGATATTCACCTCGTTTTTTAGGGCACCAATCTTTTTTTGGAATCTC